GACCTCTTCGTCATAGGAGAGCCCCGCACCCAGTGGTTTTTGAGACTTTTCTCTGTAGCTACACACCCTCAAATGGCCATCGATTCGTTGGCTGGAGAGGGGAGATAATGACGGGATAACGGCTCCTCTTAGTGTGTACTCGAATGAAGACCTGTGGAGGTATTATTGCTGGAAAAAAATCGTGAGGGAGGCATAGGAGGGAGTACACTACCCGAGGTATAGAGACTCCTGGCCTGTAGGCAGAAAGGACATACATGTCCTTACATAGTTATAGACTTTTTAGGACAATAAAAAACCACTCACTCACCTCATAATTATTTCTTTGGATTAATTACATGGAACAATTGTCTCCGAAAATACATTTTTATTATTATTTAATGTCGTGCTAGCTCACACTCTCCGGAATACGGAAATCTAGCCGACACGTACTTGGAGGTCAAGTCACGTGCCATAGGCACATGGATCCCTGTAGACTAGATGGTTCGGGAAAGAACAGTTTTATTGGTATCATTACGAATACGCAATATCTCGTATAGACAGTCTACGAATAGAATGGGATAAGACACTAGTTACCCTAAATTCCAAGTCACCAGCCCCTAAATAAAGTCACATGAGCTAATTTTCTTTTTGTGGGACAGGAAGGCTTCCATACAGGAATATATGCGCGTTACCAGGTCAAAATCTTCTCACGTCTATGAGAATGTAGAAGATCCGCCTTTCCAGGGTCGAGCGTCAGGACGCCTACTGAGACACGGGGTGAGGCTTATCTCGACGACCTAGTCATGTAGATGCAGCTATCGTATAGCGATTTTGGTTCTCAAGTCTCGCATTGGCGCCAGCGTACGCGAGCCCATGAGAGAAATAGTTGTGTGTGAACAGGAGAAGAAGTGAAGCATGAAAGCGAGCAGATAGGCGTGGACCTCAATCATGAGGCATTTCTCGCCGTTTTTGTAGCAAAGATAATTAGCGCTGCTACAGGGCCAAAAGATGGAAGTCTTTCGTGGAGCATTTAGATTTAGGCACCAAATGGAATAGTAAACTGGAGATGACGACACTGAGTCTCAAAAACAGAGAAACGAGGCAGGAAAAACAGATGGCAGGAGACTTTTCATGCCCAGCTGTCCTGTTTCTCTGACGTGGGTGCAGGTCTATCTCCCTTAACCCAAAGTCATTTCTACCGGCATATGTGAAGGCTCTGCCTACTTGATGTCAGTGTGCTAACCTTCAATGCTTGTACCCTTGTGGCCAAACACAAATATAGTCATGTTATAATCTTCGCAACTTGATATATTCCCTACAAATGGATATATAACCCTTGCGTTATTTACAACCGATCTGCGATCATTAGGGCTTGGGGTGTTAAGGCTCCCCACACTCTTCAGCCGTAATTCCTGCGCCTCCTTCAACTTTAGTTGCCCTAGGCATCTAAGTTGCATTAGGCTCTCATCTATTCTAGAAAGTGCCCGGTGGAGAGTCAGCCTAATTCACAGCGTGGCCGACTCGCCCTGAAAAGTTACCAAATTGCTAGCTGTTTAATGACTTGATTTGAGCATGAGTTTAGTTCAAAGAGTTGGATGGCAGACTTCTTAATCCCCTACGAAGCGCTGAGACAGCTGCCAAGCGTTCAGAGCTGGATATGGAGATGCTTGTTCTCCCAGTTCTACATGATGATCAAATAGCTAGCCGGGAGTAGGCGAAGCGTTGGTCCATTAGAGATGAATATCAATTGGAGTACAACGCCTCTATGTTCCAAATTTTTAAGCCTGAAACTGGGATGTTTAAAGGATTAGCCATGTAGGCGCAATTGGGCTAGCTCGCAATAAGTCAGCATTCTCTAGTTTTTTTTTCTTCAGATTTTGATTGCGTATGCAGCTATCTAGCTATGACACAATATCAAAGAAATGTACAGAATAGATGATTCAACGTAAAGGAAGAGCACTCATGCCTCAGATTTCATTTGCAAGTACCACTACTAAGTTGTGGTAGCTTTTTCTTCGCCCCAAGTCAACCCCCATCCGTGAATACCCACCCAGGGGAACGTCTCAAAAATCCTAAGTTATCCAGACATGCTTCCATCATCCATTAAAATTTCCCCACGCGAAATATGATCTTAGGTGTCTCCTTCCCAAGTGGAGTTGGTGCTCAGGCTACTCAAACTATACCAGAGAACACCAACAAGTGGTGGTCCACGGCATCTTCCATCGTTGACTTGTGTCTATAGTAACAGCTGCATTCAACTGAAGTCTCAGCGCGCACAAAGCTCAATTTGTAAAACTCATGCCAAATTCGAAATGACACACCCATCGAGGTTATATGCTTCCTTTGCATCATCTTGCGAACTTGTCCTGACATCTTTCAGGCCAATTCCAAAGAACTGTCTTCCAGATTTGTGCGCGACGCTTTGCTTCCTCTTACGGGTATAAATATCGGCGTGGGCGTGTATCTAGCGACCAGCTGAGGCCAGAGAATAGTCGACGAGAGGTGTGGTCATTGGGATGAGGATTTACTAGATCGTACTTGTAGACTTGATGAGGCTTAGGTAGGAGTCAAACTCGTTGGGAGTGAAAAATTGACATGGTAGAGTAATTTGAATAGTTACCTCGTGGGCCAACTTCTTTGATATCGCGAAATTTAACTGAACTTGGCTCTGGGATAATATTTCACTCCCAGGTTCGTAGAGTATACCGCGTACAGGTGTTTAGTCTTGCCCTCCGTCTAGAAAGGTAAAGGTAGTCTGGTAGTAAACAAGTAGTGATCACATCGCTTTCTATGCTGAAGCGCTAGTGGTAATGTCCTGTACAAAGTCTGGTAGGCGTGAGAAGGTCTGCTCTTCACGCAATATCTTCTTTCATTTTGTACCCAAATTATACCACTTCGGTGCTATCCTATAACCATGCTCAATATCCCTTCGTGCCCTACGAAACTTTAGAATAAGCTCCCTGGTAGCAAGTAGCGCTTTATGCATGGCAATGGTTTGATGGTGCAGTGGTACATTGTCTTGACCGGTCTATCAAGTAGAGTCTGGATAGCTTTGACACATGTCCTACTCGAGGCGGTAGATCTCTGGTTCAAATCCGGCAAAACACAACCACATTTCTCATGGCGCTAGTGTACATGGTTGACATGGGCATGCTTTGGTAATCAAAGGTTTTGAAACGTCCCTTTGGTGGACACTTACAGAGGAGGGTCGACTGTTTGTGTAAGCAAGCATACCTCGTAGTGGTATTTGCGAATGAAATCCAGAGTATGAGTGTCTCTGACGTCAAAAGGAGTCATCAAATATGTATACATAGCACCGGTTATGTATCATAGCTCTATAGCTGCAGCCACATTAAATGTTTTAAAAAGAAATAGATACGATATCGTCTGTCCAGCTTCGTCCTATTTTCTTGCCATGATCTCGGATTGCTCGTGATATTTCATTGATGCGCAGCTCAAATGATTTCCGTTGCTTTGACGCGTTTGTAAGTATTTAAACACCGATGTACGTGTTGGGTGATATATTTATTGCTGTCGCTCCCATTCCGCTCAGGATAACGCGGTAGAGGCCAGCTCCCCTCCGATGCTCTATTTCAAGCGATGAGCTCTGCATCGACGGCCGATCTTTTGGATGCAGTGAGACCTTAACAATGAGCAGCGTGGGAACCCGATTTTTGCTGCGTTGACATCGTCATCTACGTTTGATCGGCAATTAAAGGGTAATTACCGAACTTTTTGGGCCAGCCATAAATAGCTCGCAAGGTAAAGTGGCTTGCGTACATCGTGCCGTGCACTTTACTTTGGTCGCAAAGCCAAGCAGATGTGTGGGATCTGAGGTTGATCAACGAAGAAAGTGGACCTAACAGTACAATCATGTAAGCATTAGTAGGTTCTTTATGAGTACACAACGATCTTCAGAGTTGGTGGGGGTCAGGGTCAAGGTATCTCTCGTTTAGGCCAATGTCATGCAGGATGTGGTCACTTGATATCAATCTTTTGACAGCATCTACGGCCCCAATCATCATCATCATCATTATTATCAGAAATCACAAGTTTCTTCATCACACATGAATAACTCGAAAACCCTTCTCGCAGTCTGGTTAGAGCTAGTTATGATTCCTCCACAGTCATGATTAACGTCCAGAATTTCTCTAACAACCTATGCAGACCTTCGCTTGGTCCTGCGGCTTAGACTAAGAGAGGAGCCAGGACGAGGGTTTGAAGTAGGAGGTACGTCTTAGGATATGCACAGTCCAGATGCATTCGTCGGAACAGCCTCTCTTAACGCAACTGAAGGGTAGCCATGTCTTCGTATTCAGTTTAAGTCAATATGTAGGGCGCCCCACCAAGTTGTTTTTCCAAGCATTGGCGCCAGTTACAAACACACTATTTAGCTATGTCTCCTGTTTGGGAGAGAAAGAAAACAAAAGGGATTAAAGCTTCTTTGACTATGTCCTCGGATGGATAATTACAGAAAAATTACTGCCGGATAAATTTTGTAAGGGAGCTCGGGCAGGAAGCACACTACTCGGGGTATAGGCACTCTCAAACTGCAGGCAGAAAGAACCTAAAAATTCTAGTAGTCCCAAAACCTAAAAGGCTAATGAAACATAATCTAAACAAGATGAGGAGCCTTTACCCGTTAGCAGTTAATGTATAACTACCCCCCTAGAATTCCGGATCCAGGCATGGAATTAATAGGAGTGAAGAATATATCAGATCGCAGCTCGTATCATGCGTCGTATTCTTCATCGTATTGCCAATCGTATTTCCCATCGTATCGCACGGCGATGTTCATGTCGGTGTGCACTTATCCAAGGTCGGACGAAAAACCGTATTCTCAGCCAGGCCTATGATTCAGCATATTCAAAGCAGCATGCCTTCGTATCAGAGACCTAAAGACCTCAATGTTAATATATAATCCTGAACCTTCCCTCATGCGTTCATATTTTGCCATCTAGAGTTGAACTCAGTCTATCACACAAGCCTTCAACCCTCATATCACCAAATATCTTTCCACCATGATATCTTTATCCCTCTTCACAACGATAAGTGTGAGTCTTCAGAGAAGCTGATCAAAGCTAGCATCCTAACCCGAAGGCCCAAACTAATTCATTAAATAGGTGGCTGGTCTTATCTTTGTCTCCTTACGGACCATCTACAGTCTCTACACTCATCCTTTGAGAAAATATCCTGGACCTCTACTCAATAGGATAACCTATATTGTTAGGTCATATTATCTCCTACGCGGTGATTACGTCTTTTATCTCCAAGATCTTCACAGGAAGTACGGTCTTATAGTACGTATATCTCCAACTGAACTATCATACATTGATGCACAAGCTTGGGCCGATATCTACGCCCAGTCCACGACACGTGAATCTGGAAATTTACCCAAGGAATCTAGGAATGTGCGGTTTGAGGATAATGGTGCCGTTAACATATTTAACGCTAAAGACGCTGACCATCGCCGAATCCGTCGTATTCAAACTCATATGTTTTCAGAGAAAGCGATTGCGGGGCAGGAGCCGCTCATAAAGACCTACATCGATTTACTTATCTCTAATCTACGTGAGAAAGCCAACAACCCATCCACTAGTGTAGTGAATCTTGTAGATTGGTATAATTACACAACTTTTGATATCATTGGGGAACTCGCCTTCGGTGAATCTTTCGAATGTCTTCGGTCCAATGCCTTGCACCCCTGGATAGACAATAACTTTCTTTTCGTCAAAGATTCCCTTAACTGGGCCGCTTGTGCGGATCTCCCTTGGCCCCTAAACAAGATAGTCTACCGCTTAACACCGAGCGAAATCAGGAATGCACTATACGAAGCAAATGATTTCGCCAAAGAAAAGGCTAGTGCGCGGATGGCCCGAGACTCAGTTGATCGGGTTGACTTTATGTCATACATTTTGAAGCACAACGATGAGAAAGGGTATGTTAGCATGACTGCTCTCCGATAATCAATTCTGACTGTGGGAAGCATGACAAAGCCGGAAATCGAGAACAACGCACGCTTTCTGATTCTAGCCGGCAGTGAAACTAGTAGGATTCCGTTCCTAGCTTAACTGCAGTCGAGAATTTCACTAAAATTTGAACAGCATCTTCATTTCTTTCAGGCATCACCTTTCACCTTTTGACCAATCCACAACATCTAGTGAAGCTCACTAATCTCATCCGTGATACTTTTTCTACTCCTAATGAGATGACTGGCGTAGCCATTTGCCAGCTTGAGTATCTCAATGCCCTTATTGAAGAGAGCTTCCGCCTTTATCCACCTGCGACACTAGTTACACCACGCAACACTACATTGGGAGGTAAAGTCATTTGCGGCGAGGTCATGCCACAAAATGTTACCGTCTCAGTGCCGATATTGGCAGCAAATACGAGCCCACATCTTTGGACGGATCCCGATGATTTTGTACCAGAAAGATGGTACAAAGGCGACAAATGTCCCGAAAAGTATCGCAACGATGAGAGAAAAGTGATGCAGCCCTTCAGCGTAGGCCCAAGGAATTGTATTGGGAAACAGTAAGTATCTCCGAGCCTCATTTCTGCTCTATAATCCTTTCTGTGAAGTGTTAGCTTACGTAATTGTAGTATGGCAAAACAAGAGATTCGACTTATCCTCGCAGCAATGCTGTGGAACTTTGATCTTGAGCTTCAGCCAGAATCTCTTGATTGGAAAAAGAGCCAGAAAATATTTGGATTATGGGAAAGACCAGCACTTAAAGTTAAGTTGATTCCAAGAGATCACAATGGTTGAATTTAAGATACAGTGGTTGTCTATATTCAAGAAGTTCCTTGAGTATTGCTCCCATTTCCAAGCCACGGACTAGCCACGAGAACTTCGAGCCATTTGACGAATCTACCAAGAAACCTAAATATTCCTAGAAAATCATTAAATATTCTGCTAAAATCTAGATGGGGTGTCAAGCTGTGAAATCTAACATGTTGGATGCGGGAAGTGATTTAGAGATAAGGCTTGACTCACGAAAGGGTATTAGTGAACTCTTGTGTCAATATGGAAAAGAAAGTATTTATTTCACGTATTTAACGAAATGAAATCATGTAGAGCACGCTGCCAGGGTCATGACGATATGTCGTAACGCACAGACCAATAATACATATTTGATAAACAGTTTTTAATGTTGTGAAATAGATTTATCTCTTTTTAGGTTTGCAGTTGTGCCGGTACATGAGATGATACCACAGGCCGACCACCACTTAGCTCAATCTATAGGCTACCTGAGGTGCTAATGCGTCTAAGGGTTATCCGACAACGAAAACTAAGCCTCGAATTCCCAGCGCTCGCCGTGACGCCGGTCCCTTGCCAGGGGCGAAGGTCTACAATGCCGAAATATTTGGTGCCCAAAAAGTCCCCGAAGGAGCTATAGGAATATCAGGCAACTGCCCGATAAAAGTGCTTCTCGATAACTCCACAGCTATAAGAGCTTTAAAAACCGGTCAAACGAAATCCTCTCATTCTGTGGTTGAAATCTTCACAAGGCTAGTACAACAAGCCAGATCAGTGGAAATCCGGTGGATAAACGCCCACTCAGGGATCACTGGCCAAAGAGGCCCTCAAGAACCTACCCGATGAAACAGAAACAGCTACTCCAGAAACGAGGTGCGAAGTTAAATATACATTTGCAGCCCTCACCCAGTTCGTCAGGCAAAGGTGTGAAGAAGCGTTAGTATCCTGGTAGTTGAAACATAGACCTATTCGCAATGAGGACGTGGATCTACGAATGAAAAGAAAACGCCCACCAGAGCTAGTACCTCCAAGGCGGGCGCATCGAGGACAGGACATGGCGATTTCAGGAATTACCACGAAAGATTCGGTTACGAATGGGGAAACTGCAAATGCGTTTGCGGAAGAGGGAAATGTCCCTGATATTTTGTCGAGTATCGGATTGCTCTTCGGCAATGAAGAAATGTGAAGCACGAACCGCCGCCGAGAGGATGGGAGATGCTGGCAGAAGAGGGAGGGGAAAATTTCTCCAATTCTTAACAATAACTAAATGCTACGAGACGCAGAGCCCAAATCGGCAGGATATAATCCTGCCGAAGGAAAATTTTTCATAGCACGAAGGGTTCCGAGGAAGAAAAGGTGCCGGGCGCTTACTTTCTTGAAATTAATTACTTATTTTTGATTTCTGCTTATAGATTTGACAAGCAAACTATGTATTTGGGTTGTTGTATGTCCCGAGGGAGCATAAACCCGTATCACGCCTATTGGGTGTAGGGCGTAAGCCTAATACGAAATGCATTCAATTCAATTCCTAGCGCTCGCTATATAGAGCAGAAGTTCGAGATTAGAAACTTTGACATGGAGATTTACAAATCAAGTATTGGCGCACGCAATACTCATCAATATGGGAATCTTCTTGCCAAAATTCAAAATCACACGCCTGTCGAGCTTGTATCCATCTCCGTGTCATCTTGTAAACGTGTCCTGATCCTATTCACGTCCATCCCAAAGAATTGTCTCCCAAATTTGTGCACCACGCTTTGCATCCTCCTTCGGATATAAATATCGGCGAGGGCGTGCATTTGGTAGCCAGCTTAGGTCCGAGAATAGGCGATGAGAAGTTTAGCCGTTGAAACCAGGGTGAACTAGGTCGTATTCGGAGACTTAATGAGGTATTGATGGGAATCAATCTTGATGGGTGGGAGAGTTTGATTTCGAAGAGAGTCTTGGATCATTGCCTCGTGGGCCAACTTCTTGGGACTTATGGCATTTCCCTGAACATGGCCCTAGGAGAATATTTCACTCCCAGGCGCGTAGTGGACACGGTGTTCAGTCTTTGCCCTCCCGGGAGAGGGTAGTATGGTGCACAGACGCTGTTAATTCAATTTACACTCTTTTCACCTTACAGTGATGCCGGAGTCATGGCTCAGTATGCTCTGCATATCTGGGTTAGTCAGGAAGAATCGCCTCCGAATCGAAGTCGAAAGCAACGTCAAGCATATCTTAAGTTGACGACTTCTCGTTAATGTCGGACCTATCATTCTCACGCAGGTCCTCCACCTCGCCCCAAATACCGATAATGGTGTTACTCCAATTGCAATCGGGAATTTGCCTCATCAAAAACCGGGCATCTCCCTCTACAAAATTACGATGCCAAGTATACCTGCGAAGAGGAAGTTAAGCCATGATCTACAAAGCTTAGGTCTTGGTCTATGGAAGACCATAGCTCTAATGGGGCTTCACACCTTGAGGGAGAATAGGCGCCTGAGATGTGGAGCGAACGAGTGAAGAGGTCACAAATGGGCATGCTGGGGCTGGTATTTTCGAGATGTTTTCGACCTTGGAAAGTTTGTGGGCGCCAAGACCAAGGTTTTGGCAAATTGGCCAGAAGGACTTCTATTTTTGATGAGTCAACAGCACTCCCCAGCGCCCCGGACAGCACAAAAGAAGTTGGGCCAAGCTACCATACAGCAATCACGCTCTGTCAAGACTTTCTGGCATTTCAGCACGACCTTCGGGAAGGAGTTTGAAGGAGGCTAGAAAGGCAGAGTCTGAATTTGTCGAACTACTTACAAGTCTGCAGCGCTCAGCTGGCTGGCCTCTTCGAACGCTTCAGAAGGGTCACTATTATTGAAAGGCTATGCTGAGCTGGAATGACGTACCGTTAGGATGAAGGTATGGAAGGAGGTAGCTATGGCTTTAAGAGAAGTAAAGTTCGTGAGTTAAACTCTTAGGACTTGGATCAATGGACGAACTTGAGGATATTCCCTAGTATTCTCAAGTGTGTAAATGATATGGAGATTGTTTGAATTTCCTATTGAATAAATTGCTTGTATTATCTACGCGACAGGACATTCCTCTATGTACATTAATAAGGGGGTCTCTGCACACTAGTGGATGTTCCAACATATGTTCTTGTCTAACCGAGAAAGGAAGGATGTGAGAGATCCTAGCGCCAATAGATACCATTAGAAATCTATTGGGAAATATTATGTCATACCAATGAGTGATGATTTAGGTCAATCATACCCCATGGCGCATGTGCACATTATTCTAAAGTGAGCAGTTGATTGTAATGCAGTCATGTTACTCCCTTAATTACAACAACTATGTCTTCGGATCTAGTCCTAATGTCGGAATTAGGAAAGCCCCGCACCAAGTGGCTTTTGGCGATTTTTCCCGGTTGCCATAAACCCGCAAATGGCCGGAGGACGAAGGCTGAACACCTGTCAGTGATGTCCTCTACGAACCTGAGAGTGAAATATTCTTACAGAGCCGAAATTCAGTCGCGACAAAGGGTGAATTTGAGAGTTTTCGTCGAGTTGGCGATCGGGAGGAGTGGTGTTGGCTCATTTTTGGTCGAAAATCCGACTTGCAGAGATTTCACGACTGCATAACTCAAAGAAATCAACCATCTACACCCCAGATACAAACCGCAGACAGCCTATGACCTGTCTGATGTTCGTATCACAACAACCGACACCTTCAAGATCTTATTTTCTTTCTCTGGAAATTCATTCTCAGCCAAACTCATGTTGCGGCCCTCTCCACAATCATCTCATCACCTACCAAAAAAACCCCATACCTCCAAAAGCCAAATCGCCAACTAAGAAGCAAGAGGATGTCCGACCCTACGCAACTGCCAGTCTCTGTGAAGGTACGGTCGAAATACCGGCCTTAGATGCGTTCTAACCTCGGCCAAAGGCACCAACAACTCGGCCTGCGACGAATTGCCACCGACGAAATACGTACGGCACTTCGCCGGCACACCAACTAGAGCACTCGACAAAGGCTGGGGCACCGGTGACTCGGTCTCGAGCTCTCAGTCGCGTTTTCGACCTCCACGGTTACGGGTACGGCAGCGACGGGGCAAGGCCGGAGGGGTGGATATTCTACAAAGTTTCTGGGATAACGATATTGGCTGAAGGACAGAGGGATGCTACATGAAGGAACAAAAGGGAATACTAACCGAGGAGGCCTCCAGTGAAGAAATCGACCCCTGGATGAGATGAAGAGATGCTGAGATGAGCCAAAACTGGGAATGAATCGAAGAAAAAAGTTACAGATAGCGAAGGTGTCAAGAGCTCGAGCGCGTGGTGGCCGAGGCTGAGGAGGAATTTGCGCTTCCGCGCGCCAAAAGGGGGTTCTCTAGACAGTTGGGCTTGACATGATTCAACACATGGGTGAAGTCTGAGGTGGTCCGGTCATTTAGGTGGGACGAGGCACTTGTACTTTACGGTAGTTAACCTGATCCGGCCTGGCCCCATCTGTGCTCAAGCTCCAGTAGGAGTGCAACGGGAATATCTATACCTAGCACGTAAATAAACAAAACTAAACAAAACCCGCAAATGGCCATCGTTTCGTTGGCTGGAGAAGAGAGACAATGAAGGGCAAAGGGCTCCTCTAAGTGTATGATCGAATGAGGACTTGTAAGGGGCGGTACTGTTTGAGAGGAGCTGTATGGGAGGCATGGGAGGGGATATACTACTGGCATAGGTATCTGTGGCCTACAAGCAGAGAGGATTTGCATGTCCTACATAGTCATAGGCTCAGAAAGGACAATAAAATCAATTAATAACAGATATTGGAGGGTTGTATTGTACGCCAACACGAGGTTAAATAAGAACCAAACAAGCGAAGCTACCAAGAGAAGCCCAGCCGAAATAGTTTTTATAATTCTATGAGATTATAGTCCTAGGAGCACTCGACAATCCTTCACAATATTTAATAGTTCGCCACGAGGCATTACTCCGCCGGACTGTACTTATGGTCAGCTTATATTCCCGCAAATAAATCCCCTCGCCGGTTGCGGGATAATTCTATTAATTTTTACTTGAAGGCTTCTACCCTGATGGTCCATGTCCAGCAATCTTGCCGGGCCAATCTCCAGCCATTTCTCGCCGGCCAATCTCATGAGGCTCCGGTACTGCAGTTCCATACTGGTTATTCTCTTACTGTATTTAGCTAATGGGGGGCTGGATTCCAGGAGGAATTGGTAGATTTCATTCGCATTGTCCGCATCCTTACCCACACTCGTAACCAGGTGCCATACCTCCTCATCTAATCTTCTGCTGAAGACGTGTGGATGGCCTTGATACCATGCTAGTGCGTACTTTAAGCCATTGTATTCCGCCATGCTGATGAATGAATTATCTAGAATAATCCGCTTAATCTTGAGCGGCTCATCAAATATAACTACCGGTGCATTTCCATTTCTAGTGCTGGTATGTAAGCCATAGTTACCATTTATTGTGATGTGACCTTGCAAGGCTAGATCGACAAGCTTCTTTTCGCTACACTTTCGAGTTGTCAGAAGCTGGTTAGTATGAATCTTGGTGAAATATCGTGCTGGTTTCCACATTCCTCTTATGAATCGTAAGCAATCCGGCGTCAAGTTGACCTCATTTCCAGCCCAGATGTACTGGTTATGCACCAGGCTGGTCCACTTTTCTCTTAAAAGATAGAAGATACTCTTACCGTCCTTCTGGATTGAACAGTAAGCCGCAAGATAGGTGCCCGGCCCCCTTACTGGGCTCTCAGTTACGTAAACGCTAGAGTCTACATCCGGAAGTGGAAACTGAAAGCTGGAGTCTACAGCGTGAATACTGTAGAGTGGATTATACTCATGTGCATGTGTAAGCACCAAGCGACTTTCTATCGGAAAGTTCATTCCGGTATTTAAGAAGATGGCGAATATACAGGCCATTGTGGTGAGTTGAAGAGTGTCCTAGGTCAAGCTAGAATATTTGGTTGTTTTGCTAGCCAGATACTGGCTAACATGAGAAGTGTCTCCAGAGTTTTATGATGCCGTCTGGGGCCTTGGGAGATGAAGTCAAGGGGATCTATATCAGAGACTCGTGTCTATGGTTCGGATGATTTCAAGGGCGTAAATAGAAAGAGAGAGAGTCTAGGCTTCATTTTGTGTTTGTGAAGTGATCATTATTTTCCATGCGCTGCTCGACAAATCTCAAGTTACTTATTCTACACGAGTCATCCCGCAAAGACTAAAATCAACGGCGTATTCGAAAGGGAAAGGATGCAGAATTTCAGAAGAGCTGGGCATACAGAGGCATGCGCTTGATGGGCTTATTCAAAGGAATTCATAGACATCTCATATTCAGGATTCTTGAAAAGCCTAGTTATTTCTCTCGTCGGGCGAACCGACTGGCTGAAAATTGATAAGTACATATTATGGAGCCTCACACGATTGAAGAGCATTGTGGGTAATTGTGAATGATTTAAGCTTTTACAGGGCCTCGATTTCCTTGACCAGTCTATCTTGACTCCATGGAAGATTTGAAATGATGGAGAGCCTGCAGGCACAGCCTAAAGAGTACATGGTTGGGCCGTGAGGCAAGCAGACATCCTACTGCAGATTTAGATTCCGACTGATGCGTGAGAGAACCAATGAGAATTTAGAGTAGATTTCGTACTGTTGGTCAAAGGAAGCAGATGGCGCAACGTTTTGTGGGTCACAAAGCTCGTTCAAGTTGGTATAAACTCTAAAATTCATCGTGGCCTTAGGTAAATAATTCAGTTGTCCTGACTTGGCGCCTTGAGGCCCATGCAGGTTTTTATCGGAAGGTATGTACTTTAGGTAGGATGACTCAATTTGAAGTTTAGAACACTCACTCAGATTTTTTAGTAAATACCACTCGAGGTTAACCCTTACAGCGTACAAAATCTTCCGTGAATACCCACCACAAAGAATAGCGTGAAAAGACTATAATTATCTGAGTGTGCTTTCATTAATCCTCCAATATGATGTCACTGCGAGAGAATGATGTGCGGGTTTTACTGGATTCGAAACATTTTTCTCTTGTCTCGAATTGGGGTAGGTGTTCAAGTTACCTAGATTCTACTTGGGAGAGCGGTCCGGATGGTGTACCACTGCACCATCCAACCCCCATTGTGGTCTCTGCGCAATGTGTGCAAAGGAAAGCCCTGCATCCTCCATGGTTGATGAGCTTTATAGAATAAATGTAGATATAAAACTTGTGTTACTATCCGCACAAGATATATCCCTAATGTTGTTATCATTATTCTCTGTTACAAGAATATTTCAGGCCCTCTAAGGAAAATACGATAAAATAGGAGACTATGAACTTGCATAAGAAGAGTCGCTGCTTGTAGCTGTGTTTCTTTATTCACGCAATATCTTCATATTATTCTGATTCAACTTGCCATATATCTCATCGGGGAAAACGTCTCTCGCTGGGCTGGTATGCATGGATAGCCAAGGCACGCTTGAATTCTCTTAGAATTTAGAACTTTTCTTTAGCGGCACTCGAGGAGGATCTGCTGTTTTTCGTAAGCAATCATTCCTCATAGTGGTATTTCAAAGTGCGATTCAGTGTCTAATATCTTTAAGGGTAGGTGGAGTATCCAACATGTAGACCAAAAAATAATCGAGCGTTGAAGTAAGATACCTGAGTTCACGTTGGTTGATAACAAATAATCAGGTGTAAGATCTTGAGTTGACTGGGAAGTATAGAGATTTTCAACATTACATTTGTGCCTGACTTGGAGGCAGAAAGGCGTCATGTATTACCGAGGCTGGGTTGGATGGTGCAGTGGTACACCATTCAGGCCATTCTCCCAAGTAGATATTGGGTAGCTTGAACACCTACCCCATTTGAAACAGGAGAAAGCTGGTTCGAATCCAGTTGGACCCACACACCACTCTCTCTCGCGGTGATATCGTACTTGTGGGATGCTGAAAGCACACTTGGATAGCCACAGGTTTTTCACGCTTTTCCCTGTGGTGGGTATGCACGGAAGAGGTTATACGCCGTAAGGGTTAACCTCGAGTGGTATCTGCAAATGAAATCTGAGTGTGAGTGTTTAAAATGTCAAATTGTGTCATCCTAGCCAAAGTACATACCTTCCGAGAAAAACCTGCATGGGCCTCAGGGCGCCAAATCAGGATAATGAATCACATATATATATACGTCGGTCGGTAATATACACGTGTAAGCGTACGCAATGGGTTTCTCTCTGGTGTGGTGATTCTTGTTCTTCTATTTCTTGGATACAGGCGTGTCAGCCTTAAGGGCGACTCGCCAAGCTGCACCAATCCACGTGACTAACTATCAACATATTGCAATCTCTCTCCTGACCCATGCGCATACCAAAATAGTGTTGCGACAATATATATATTACCGAGGCTGGATCTACACAATAAGTAGTCAATAAATGGAAGGCAAACGCTAGGCACCTATACACAATGTCTTCTACGAACCTGAGAGTTAGATATTCTCCCAGAGCTAATCTCAGTCAAATTTCGTAATACCAAAGTTGACCCACGAGGCAATGACCAAGACTCTCTACGAAATCAAACTCTCCCACCCATCAAGATCGATTCCCATCGACACCTCATCAAGTCTACAAGTTCGACCTAGTACATCCTCTACCCAATGACCATACCTCTCTCCGACCTTCTCTGGCCTCAGTTGACCACAAAATACACGCCCACGCCAATATTTATACCCGACGGAGGAAGCAAAGCGTGGCGCACAAATCTGGGAGACAGTTCTTTGGGATGGACGTGAGACTTTGAATTCTAGTAGATGTTTTACGAATTGAGCTTTGTGTGCGCCGTGACTTCGGTTGCCAGAGTGCAGGCAACACTTTAAACACCGCCATGGTTGCATGGTGCGGTGGTGCATCGTCTTGGCCGGTCTGCCAAGTAATGTCTGGATAGCTTAGACATAAATCCCACTCGAGATAGTAGATCGCTGGTTCAAATCCGGCAAAACACAACCACTTTTCTCGCGGCGCTGGTATTATTAATTCATTCTATTGCCCTTTCTGAGTCCGTGACTATGTAGGACATGCAGCTCCTCTCTGCCTACACGCCAAGGATACCTATACTAGTAGTATATCCCCTCCTATGCCTCCCATATAGCTCCTCTCAAACAGTACCACCCCTCACAAGTCCTCATTTGATCATACACTTAGAGGAGCCCTTTGCCCTTCATTATCTCCCCTCTCCAGCCAACGAAACAATGGCCATTTGCGGGTGTGTAGCTGCAGGGAAAAGTCTCAAAACCCACTGGGTGCGGGGCTCTCCTAATATCGACATTAGGACTAGATCCGAAGACAAAGTGACCTTTCTGAAGCGTTCGAAGAGGTCGGCCAGTTGGGCGCTGCAGACTTGTAAGTAGTTCGGGAAATTCAGACTCTTTATTATGGCCAGGCATCATTGAAGAGGTTTCAAGGAGAAGGTTCTCAGGAAAAGGTTTTCTGAGAAGGTTTCCGAGAGAACTCTGACAGTTAGAGATGGAGGGGCTAGAGTCATGACTACATCTACCATAGCTTTAGTTGAGTTCTAGTACTGTCTCGAGTTTGACTTAAGCAAGCTGGAGCTGCCACACAGTAGCTCTCCAGCTTCTCAATCTTTCATTCTTTTGATCTTTGTTCTCGCAATCTAGCATTTACATGAGAATATAATCTTATATTCTCAGTCTTTCATTAGTCATTACACTAGTCGTATTTCAGTTCACCCTAAGTTTGCCTCTCGACTATCTTGTAGTTCTCCGACCTCTGACCACCTGGCACCTCGCCAGCCAAATTATATCCGAGTATCCTTCGTTAGCAACTATAATCCTAACAGTATTAATACCTTACCCTCGGCAGACGGCGACCCCCAGTATCTTTAGCGCACGCCGTAACACTCTGCCTTTCTAGCCTCCTTTCAACTCCTTCCTGAAGGTCGTGCTGAAATGTCAGAAATGTCAGAAAAGTCTCGATAAAGCGTGATTGCTGTATGTTAGCTTAGCCCAACTTCTTTTGTGCCGTCCAGAGCGCTTGGGAGTGCTGTTGACTCTTTTTTTTTGCATTAGATTTTAATTGCGAAAGCAGCTATCTAGCTATGACACAATATCAAAAAAAAGTCCCGAAAAGATGACTTAATTCACAAAAAGAGCACTCATGCCTCGGATTTCATTTGCAAGTACCACTGCGAAGTTATGGTGGCTTTTTCTTCACCACAAGTCAACCCTCATCCGTGAATAACCACCCAGGGGAACGTCTCAAAAACCCTGAGTTATCCAGACATGCTTCCATTATCCATTAAAATTTCCCCACGCTATATATGATCTTAGATGTCTCCTTCCCAAGTGGAGTTGGTGCTCAGGCTACTCAAACTATACCAGAGAACATCACCAAGACTCAGACCACAGCACCTTCCATCGTTTGCTTGTCTTTGTAATATCAGCTGCGCTCTCGCAAGCGAAGTTTTGGCGCGCACAAAGCTCAATTCTTAAAACTCCTTGCCAAAATTCGGAATTTCTCGCCCTTCGAGGTTAGATCCTTCCTTTGCATCATCTTGCGAACTTGTCCTGACCTCTTTCAGGCCAATTCCAAAGAACTGTCTTCCAGATTTATGCGCGACGCTTTGCTTCCTCTTACGGGTATAAATATCGGCGTGGGCGTGTATCTAGCGACCAGCTGAGGCCAGAGAATAGTCGACGAGAGGTGTGGTCATTGGGATGAGGATTTACTAGATCGTACTTGTAGACTTGATGAGGCTTAGGTAGGAGTCAAACTCGTTGGGAGTGAAAAATTGACGTGGTGGAGTATTTCGAATCATTGCCTTGTGGGCCAACTTCTTTGATATCGCGAAATTTGACTGAACTTGGCTCTGGGATAATATTTCACTCCAAAGTTCGTAGAGGACATCGCGGACAGGTGTTAATTCTTGCCCTCCATGCCGTTGACTCATCGACAATTGAAGTCTTCTTGGCTAATTAGTCGAAATCTTGGTCTTGGCGCCCGCAAATGTTTTAAGGTTGGAAACTTCTCGAAAATATCGGTCTCAGCATGCTCTTCAGAGACCTATTCCCCCTCTCGCTCCACGTCTCAGCCGCTTGTTCTTCTTTAAGATGTATAGCCCCATTAGAGCATCAGCCCTCCATAAATTAAGACCCCAACTTTGTACATTATGACTTAATTTCTTCCTTACGGGTATACGTAGCGTCGTAGATTTGTACTAGATGATGGCCAGTAATGAATGAGGTAAACTCCTTTTTGCAATTGGGGTGATGCCTTTATCGGTCGTTGAGGCGGGATTATATGTGGTTAGACAGAGGTTGAGGACCTCAGAAGATAATGGTGAGTGCTGCATGTTTGAGAAGTCGTCAAATAGAGATATGCACGTGCTTGCTTTCGACTTCGATTCGGATGCGATTCTTCTTGTTTATCTCAGACATGTAGAGCTTACTGAGCGATTCCACCGGCACGACTGGAAGGAGAAGAATTCGTCTTTGACGGCGTGGTGCTGTTGTACATTGATGACGAAGGCATGCCCGGATAATCAAAGGTTTTAAATTTCCCTTTGGTGGGTACTCACGGAGGAGGGTCGACTGTTTGAGAAAGAGAGCATACCTCGTAGTGGTATTTGCAAATGAAATCTAGAGTATGATTGTTCCTATTGCCAAAAGAGTCATCCAACATGTATACATAGCACCGGTCATGTATCGTAGCTAGATTTCTGCATTCACATTAAATGGGTTAAAAAAAATGTGTCCATGGTAATTGTGAGATCAAATGTACCCTAGGTATTTCAGCTTGCTCGCATAGCCTCTGCAAATAGGCGCAATCCGCTGTACATTTTCCTTTCTTGTCGTAAATGAAAGATCATGTAAATGACTCGTCTTTAGAAACTTTGTCTCAACAATTTCCCTCGGCGCGGTACATAGACTGATTTGTCTGTCTATGGGACATCTCTCCTGCTCCCTTTAATCCTCCTAAATTTGAATCCATGCTATCTAAGCTTAGTGAGCCTTGATTTGCGTGGTTCAATATCGCAATCTTACTGATATCTTGGCCGGAAAATACACACGCAAAGATAGTGACGCGATTCATGAAGAATTCCTCGGTCAAATTACACCAAATTACCCTTACGGCTTTGGTTCAGCTACCATCCTTCCTTATAGTTAGACTTGTAGGCCCTTTCAAGGCCAAGAAGCTCTCGTGTATGGATCAGGTGGTTAAATCTGGCTGAGAGAGTGAAGAAAGCTGATTGATGTTTTACATACAAGTATGAACTAGGATTTCTGGGCAGGAACTTGTATGAAGCAAAACCCGGCGACATGTATGTTCGACAGCTCCATGCCTTGAACGAGACCTTGTTTTTTTGATATCTCTTGGCTCCATCGAATCATTCAACTGCTGTAAATTGAATCTACTCAAAGACTGCGATGCTATAATCAAAAGCCGACATATAGAACTCTCGAATCCCTGACCCATACTCTGTACTGTAGCTAGTACCAGGCTCTCAATGTTTCCAATGTTAGCCACATTAAGATCAATTAAAGACGCACAATTTTATTACATAGAGTGTAGAGAGCCCAGCTATTCAATGAGAATGGCCTATCTCCCTACGTCGGTCAAGGAAATATTGACCTCCAATTTCCTAATTTTTCCTCATATTTGGTCCGTCAATCATTTCCACTCAACTCATTCAGACCCCCATCAGAGAGTCTGAATTCGCCGTAGAAACTAGCGGGTTAAAATAGTCGCGTTGGCAGGTAATCATTCTGGTACACACGTAGAAAAACCCACTAACAAAGTTGAGCGAAACATCAATCTGATTTGAAATGATGAATTGTCTTGCCGCAGTCCTCCTTCTCACAGGCAGAAAATCGCCGATTACGGATCGTTGGGTAATTTCAGGCAATTTTAAAGGAACCTCTATTTACGATGTCTTAACTGTTCATCCGAACCATGGATTGCCAGTTCCGAGCAGCGACTCGGGCATATTCATGACCCAGAGAAAAGGCGATCAGCCCGGTACATATCTTGCAGCATATTGCTCATCCAGGTTGGATAATTATCAGATGTATTATAGTATTACCAAAGGTACGAAAAGTCTAATGAAAACAGCTCACGAGGGGATAAGTGAAGACGTCGAATTGGAAAGATACTGCTCACATTTGATCACTAAACTCTCTCAATCACAACCCGATATGTGCAGTGTACATATTTCGAAACTCAGAGATCCAAAAGAATGTACCGAAATGGTATTGGTTAGTTTAGCATTTCAACGGAAAATTTCACTACATGGAAAGCTTGGATTAACTTCCACCTTGGCCTATCACCACTCCCCCGCCGTTATATTGGATAGGCGGATTGAGGTAAAAAATGTCATTTTGAATGGCGAGTTTTTTGTCTTAAAAAGAACAGAGTGGAGAGAATATGCACTTGCTTGGTATCAAGGCCATCTCCATGAGTTCAATAAATTAATCGGGACAAATTCCTGGTACTTAACAAGTAAAATCGGCCACGAACTTCAAAATGGAAAATTTATTTCCGAGCTGATTTTGAAGAACCACCCTGACATTGTTTCATTTCAAGATCAATTGCTCGCCCTTCCACCATCATCTGATGCCACCTCGTCCGCCTGCTCGGGTTGCTCATCAAATGATTTGCGATTCATGAGTAAACACGCGCCGAGAGAAAAAGGACCCACAGTAATTGTTCCAAGACTTGCCGCAACAACTGCAGACGGGTATCTTTCTGGGGAAATAGGGTCGGAGAAATTTGAAGATATATTCGATAATTATAATCCACCGACAAATGCTGTCATGTGTTAATGATCTCAAGATAGACTAGGGAGCCGCAGAAATATGTCACACATGTCGATCGTAAACAAGCATTCGATATGGATCTGATTAGATTATATACTCTTAATTTGGCGTCCCATGGGCTCATAAAGACTTCTAAAATCATAGTTTTTTCGTGTATATTTTTTCATTTAAATTCCAAGTAAAATGACATCTGTCACGCTCCTACTGGAACCAAAGTACAAGTATGCCTCGTCTCATCTAAATGACCAGAACCATGCCGAAATGCATCTACGTGTTGAATCATGACGAATCCAGCAGCCCGAAATAAAAACACAAATAAAGGAAACTCCCACGCGAAATCCCGGATTTGGAAAGAATAATTAAAACAATCTTCCTTCCATCGTTCTGTCTCAGCCGCCACAGGCCCGAGTCTCGATTCCAGTCCCTCAATCCATGCTAAATCTCCTGGGCTTTCCATCAATGACCTCCAAGTCGCAGGTATCCCTATAATTCTCCAACTAGTCATGTTATAAATTGTCAAGGATTTTTAGGAGGAAATATCTCGAAGAACAAGTGTACAATTTCGGACAAGAATATATTGATAGTTGTCGAGGATATCGAATTCTCTTCTCAATATGAATTAATAAAATATAATTTTTCGATTACTTAGTTTAACATATAAAAATAAGCCAATCCTTAAATACAGATTCCCGAGGCTTTAGTGATCCCGAACTCCCAGTGATCTAGCTACAAACAGCCACTCAATTACCGCATGGTATCATTTCCTAGCCATTGCATTTCAGATACTACTGAACCTCGTTTCCCCTAGCTGAGCTTAATCGTATGCAATAGAAACAAGTAAATTGATCTTGATGATCAAACTAGAAATCTAAACCTTCATACATACGAAGTCTATATTTCCAACAAGTCATCGCATATATTCCACTCTCCTGGACGTATTCCCCGAACATCCGCCACTCTCTCAATCGGAGCAGGGTTTCCAGCGTCGGTGCCCTCCGTCTTCCACCTTTCACTCGCCAGTGCCATTCTACATTGGATAAGGTGACTGATTGTGTTTCCTCTACCACACTCACAGTTAAATATGGCCGTCGCATGACTCAAGCGACAGTAGTATGCCGCGAAGTCGCCATTTATAGTTAGAAAAGAGATTAGGCAAGCGTGATCATTCTCGATGATATTTCCGGGCGCGCATTGTGAATTTAGTAATAATGGGTGTCGAATAATAGGACACAATCTTTATTTGGATGTTCGTAAAGCAAGGATGCTGGAGTTTGGGCTGTAATAATGATTATTGTTGAAAAGTAGCACCCTACTATGAAATTATCACCGACAAAGTACTAATGTGCAAGGGAAGAAAGAAGAAAGGTTCAAAAGAATTTTGATTAACTGGCCTTAGAATCTGGCAGGATTAAGTCTTCTATAAGTACCACACTCAATCTCGCTCCCACACGATCAACATGGCTAGCCTGATACAGCATCTAGAGTGTATTATCCCTGCTACGCACTGACACATTTACAATAACTAGGATGATTTGATTTTAAATTTGAATTTGAAGTATTTAACATGACTGGACAAACCTATCATATATTTAGACGCGACACGGGTAGATGGGCTCTGAGAGCTCATTGCTACCTACATTCAGACCCCTGTTAAGACGATCATGGTTAATACAATATTTTTTCCGTTACAGACTTTGTTCCCATACATTTACCAATTACACAATTATTGTTCTTCAATCTCTGAATATTATCTTAACCAGGGTTTTTTCACTAGATTGGTGCTAACAATGCCGCCAAAAAGGGGAATTTCTGAGGAGCAACAACGTGCTTTGCGACAATGGGCGCACCGCCAGGTCCCAAAACCAACATAAAAACAGTGCATTGAGTGGTTCTTAGCTGAGTACAGCCATCGATTAAGCCAGTCCATAGTCTCCGAGTCTTTGAACAAGACCTTCGCGAAACTCGACGAAGCTACAAGTACTACTGTGTCAAACAGATTACCCTAAATTTAAAAATTGTGTCATGATGTCTTAGTTGAGTAGTTTACAAGCAAGTAAACGGGGCTGATGCATTAAGGGCAATAACTAAGTTATGCAAATGTTACAACTAGCGACAATACAGATGGCCAATTTCATGCGCACAACTCCCTGGTTGTTTCACTTTCTCTATTGCCCGTGATAATGTAACAGCCAATTTCAGAACCATGTATGGAACGGAGATTTGAGCAGTTTGCATGGGCTATCTAATAGTCAGTCTATATTTGGGATTAGTAGGATACTCAAGATGTATATAATACCTAGATAGATTCCTCATGGTAGAGGATAATCAATTCAATCAACTCTGAGAGAGATTCATACTAGTATAACTTGTGATGGGCAATCAACAAAACAAGATAGTAAAGGAATGGTGGCCAATTACTGTCTATTTTCTACATACATCTCGGAACTGGCCACCGAGGGGAGGCTACTTAAGGTGTCCCAACTCCCAATGCGCTAACCTCACTGTTACGGTTTACCCGTTGTTTAACCTTAGGTGAATACCTAAGCGTATTGTTGAGGACTCTGAGGATAAGACTGTTGGGATCGAAGCAATGTCATAGCACAGTGAATATGGGCAATGCGTAGCCGTGCGATAATTATTCGACCTAAGAAAAAGGTATAAGCAACGAGACTCATAGAGTGGACAAAATGTTATAAGTACCTTGTAGCTGTAGTTAGATTTCTCTTCTTCATAGAGTTTATTAAATCGATTTTTTCATCACCAACTCGGTTTCTATCACAGTATAAACTCTATCATTCACATATATGGCCCGTTATTAAGTATATCGCATCATTAGATTATTGTGGCTTAGGGAAATTTTCAATTTATCGGAATAGAACGGTTAGCAGATTAATCAACTTAGGACTGCCAAGGAAGTGGATGCCAACATTCGCTCCTCCATCAACATCAACGGACGGGATAATTAGCTCTGGACGATCGAGTCGCCTAAGTGAATTATCATTCAAATCAGCACAGGGATTCGAAGAATCAATAAGGGGTCCCAACATGGACAATCTTGAAATCGGAACGGGCTTCATTGCAACTGGTATTTCAAGCCAGGAATCGATGCAACATGAAGAAACTGAGACAGACATGCAAAAAATGATTGAAGAAATAAGACGAAGGGATACAGAACAAAGGAGGGATATGGCAATGTTACAAGCACAAATGAACCAAATGATGTCAACCATGCAGAAACAGTTGCAGAACAATGACCAGGTACCCCTGCAGCCAGTGAGACCTAATCCTGGTCATCCATCAGAACAAAGGGAGCCATTAGGCAAAGAAAAACCATTGAAATGGCCGGAAGCTTATGATCACAAGGATAGATCTAAGTGGACTACCACACACGGAATCCTTCGGTACATATATTGGCGCAATGTAGAGGAGCGCAACATACTCGAACCATCGGATTTTTTCATGCAGCTTTACAGCCATGCAGTGACTGGAACTGCCAAGGATATGATCACTGGCCAATTCCAAGATATGCTTGCCAACGACGCAATATGGGATGCCTTAGGCTTACTTCAGGCCATGGATGACGCCTTTTGTAATAGAAACAAAGAACAATCTGCGGCTGCGCTTTTCCATGCATGCCGACAATTTAGGGATGAGAACTTGTCATCATACCTACCGCAATTTCAGCAACTACTAACACAAAGTCCCAGCTCAACGGGAGACAACAAGAATAAAATGTACCAACTTCGAAATTCGCTCAATAGAACAACAAGGAATCACATGATTGGTCGTTCTCAACCGAAAACCTTCCGTGAACTTATCGAGTATCTATCATTGTTAGGTTCAGAAATCGAAGAAGTTGGTACAACAAGAACTAAAGAGTACCTCCTTGGTCAATCTGGGTACTTCGATGATGGAACACGGGGTATTGCAGGGGGGAAATTACTCGGAGGAACTACACAAGGGAATCTTTATCATCCAACTGTCAAAGACAACATAAACAGTAAAGATCAAGATGGTGATACAAGGATGACCGGTGTAAATAAAGTACGTGCAAAATAGGTTTCATTTGCCGAGTTGAGTCAACGCAGAACAAATGGTGCATGCCTTCGGTGTGGAAGAAAAGGGCACATTATAGCAAATTGTAATCTACTCCCAGCTAAACGTCCCGAAACTACAGTCCAAGCTGTAACGTTCATCGAAGACAATACTGCTGTGGAAGGTATCATTGTAGGGGAAAAGGAGTTAAAAGGTAAGCTCCTGAACAAAGCCGTGTTCAGGGGCCTGAAAGGAAAGTTTCGAACATAACAATAGGCTCAAATGAAATTGAAGATAAGAATGTAGAGTACTCTATGAATGGATCGTCTTTTATTATAGACACTGTCAAATTGGAGCGTAGGCGTTTGACCTGAAACGGAATAGAAGGGCGAGAAGAGGTCGGATGGATCACGATGACTAAAGATCTACTGGAGATAATTTGGAGAACTAAAGGTTTAAAAATGGGTAATATAAGTGTCTAAAGAGTCTAAAGGTACGAGCAAATACTAGTGGTGACTAAAGGTGCTAAAGGTTACTAGTGGTGACTATGAGTGACCAGAGGTGATCCGAAGGTGGTGGTTGTGACAGAAGACTAAGCGTGAAGAACTCTATAGCTACAGGCCAAGCCAACATACATATACTTGCTTTCCTCCCACTAGCTCATCATAACATAGGCCCTAAACTAGTACCAACATAATAACCAGTGCCAAGAACTATTCTGTTATCATAGCAACATCAGAAGAAGGGTAAAATTATAAACATAAGTTAGGATAGGTAGGAGAATCCTTACAGACACTTTAATTAATGGAAGTTATTCAGTACCTACTTTAATTGACAATGGATGCAAATATCTAGCTGCTGTTAGCAACTCCTTAGTACGCAGAGCTAACCTTCCTCGGATAAAAATTCACCCACGAAAGCTTACCGAGGCTACAAAAAATCAGCACCACAAAGAGTATATTACGGAAATG